GTAAAATATGAAAATCATCAGCATATAGTTGACTAGAGAAAGAAAAGTTATTAATAATACATACGAGGTAGTTCAGAGGTATAGAGTATAAATACAAGAGGACCAAGGATGGAACCCTGAGGTACCCCGAAAGTATGAGTAGCGGAGTTAGAAATAGAATTATTGAAAATTATTAAGTCTTACTCCTACTCTTCTCCTTCTTGTTACTTCGTTAGTCTTATCTTGGATTGATTATTGTAACTCGCTCTACTATGGTCTTTCTGACTCTATACTCTATCCTTTAAGTAAAGCTTTTAACTCTGCTGCTCGTCTAGTTGCTCGTGCCCCTTTCTTTTCTCATATATCTCCATATCTTGTTCTCTTGCACTGGCTACCTATAAAATATAGAATAATTTTTAAAATTTGCACGTTCATGTATAAGTCTCAATCTAAATTATTTCCTAAGTACTTATCAGATATATTAATTGAACCTAAACGCCCCGGTTTACGATCGTCTTCTTCTTCTCGCTTTTTCTTAACTCGTGTTAAACACTCTTTTGCCAAATCTGCTTTTGCTTTTTCTGGTCCTTTTCTCTGGAACTCTCTACCTACTTCTCTAACTATTTCTCCATCACTTGCGAAGTTCAGAGCGGATCTCAAGACCCATCTGTTTTCAAAATTCATTGAGGAGCGCTGTTGAACATCGCGGAAATAGCGCTTTATAAGCTAATTGATTGATTGATTGATTATGTTTAATTAAGTTTTCTATTGTTTGTTGCAGAATAGTACACATATATAGAATAAAATAGTGTAAATATAAATTGTTGTAAGTATAAATAATGCGACGTTTAGAATAACCTTATTAAATTCAGTTTTATTTATATAACTTTTATTGACATTTTGAGGAGAGTTTCGGCAAGTGTTGGCTTCTGCATTTTAATTTTTAAAATATAGAGTTGCGTCGTGTGGTTGACATCTTTCATAAAATGTTGCATCAGAGCTAAGTTTAGTAAATTGTTCTAGAGTAAGGTCTGAAAGTTTTTATTTCTTTTAGGAAGAACATTATTCTGTATTCATCATTAAAAAATTACCCAATTTACCGGCATCCGGCCGTTGGCATTTAGTTTGTTTGTTGAGAAGTGAAAAGTCGCACGCCGGCAACCGCAACATAACAAAACTGAGAACAGCAAGGAAAGCAGCACGCCAACTGAATTTTTTCTCAGACCCTCCCCAAAAAATTAAATAATAATTTGCTGCTATGGGGAATTGTTGCATGTCCAAGGAGCCACAGAATTCGTTCCAGAACGAAAGTTTCAACAACAACTCGCAAAATGTATTGAATCACCATCACATAAACGTGCAGCAGGTGGTGTCTGCGTCGAAAGAATCCATCAATTACAAGTCCAGTAGTTCCAACCTCCAACACATCAACGACAGGGAACCAGAAGGTAGGCTCACACATAGAACCAGCTTCACTAAAAATTAAAAATAATTTTTCAGAGAAATAGCATTTCAATTTTTTTTTTATCTAAAATTGAATTCAAAGTTGTTTGCTGAAGGATTATTAGAAACATTAATTAATTGTAATTGAGATGAAAAACGAAAAGAGAGATGTGATCATCATGAATGATCATTTATTTTATTTATACTATACTTGCTGATGTTTTTGAAATATACATTAGGATTAGAGGAGTGATGATGAATAAGAATTAGAAATTATTTTTATTTGTTTGTATTATAATATGAGTTGAGAGAGTTTTAGGACTTAGTTTGTAAACTTTAATGCTGCACCAAATGTTTAATAGGAAATTTTTTCAGAAAAAAATGAATGTCATGGCTTGTATATATGTATATAATATATATATAACAAAATATGTAGCATAGTGTGGACTCAGTTCCCACAAAGATTAATCCATTGAGGAATAGTAGTTAAACTTTTTTTTATGCTTGGTTGGATGCTTGTCAGAAAAAATTTTGGGATTATTAAGGAAATATGATAGAGGCATTGATGAGTTCTTGAGGTAAAGTTTTATTTTTATACCTCTATATAAGCACTATATAACCCTAACAAATTGAAAATTGTTCACCAAGGCTGCACCCGTTAAGGGCAAACTTATGATTTGATTATATGTTTGTTGATGATGATGGTCAGTGACATTGAGATGCCGATTGTGATCATGATCTTGCTATTGTGATGATGATGATGATGATGAGATAATTATGTTGATAGTGTTTATGATGATGATAAAGTTGATGATTACTGTGATTATTATTATAATGATGATAAATGAAAAGATTTCATGGCATGACAGAGAAACTGGAATCTGTATGGGAGACTTGTAAATAGTGCCTAAACAAACACTTGACCTCTGTCTAATTATATAACTAAACTTTTTATGTTTCTATAAAATGAGGATCTTCAATTCAAAGATGAATTAGTCTTTCATTTCAATTCACAAATCCAACCCATTATTTTATATTTCTCACCTATTAAACACAAAAATGGTTCCAATGACATTTCCGACAGAGTCTGTGAACGACCCTTCCGTACACCCGCAGGCCTGCCCCATCTTCCTAATGAGATCCGTCAGTGATAAACATCGAAAAAGCAGTTAGTCGTTTTTCAACTGAACTTTTTACTGAATTTTCTTTCAATTGTTCATTAAAAATGTTTTTATTTTTGTTTGTTTATTTTAAAGCTGGTGTATTGAATGTTAGTTTATAATATTATATCATCTTTTGTATTTAATTATTTTTTATAATAATAATAATAAAAATTATCATGGCATAATTATTATCTATAATAATTGTAATAGCTTTTTTTATTGCATGCCATCATCACCTATGATCTGACAGCTAATATATCCTCTAGCATGCAAGATGATGAGCTATCCTTTTAATGTATAAATCATGTCAGTAGGTCATGAATTATCTCTTCTGTTCTGTTCTCTTTATTCATATTTATTTATTTATTCATTCATTCATAATTCATTCATGGTAAGTTTGCTCAGTCATTCATTCATCTATTCATTTGTTTGTTTATTACTTCATTCATTATCCTTATGAATCAATCATTTTCATTTAATTTTTTTAACTGCTTGTCCATCCATCCATCCATCCATCCATCCATCAATCCATCTATCCATTTATCCATCCATCCATCCATCCGTCCGTCCGTCCGTCCGTCCGTCCGTCCGTCCGTCCGTCCGTCCGTCCGTCCGTCCGTCCGTCCGTCCGTCCGTCCGTCCGTCCGTCCGTCCGTCCGTCCGTCCGTCCGTCCGTCCGTCCGTCCGTCCGTCCATCCATCCATCCATCCATCCATCCATCCATCCATCCATCCATCCATCCATCCATCCATCCATCCATTTATCGTTTCATTCATTTATGATCTTTTGGTTGATCATTCATTCACTCATTTAATTTGTACAAAATATCATTAGAGTTTAATTCATATTTTTCTGAATGTTTGCAAATTTAAACGAAATGATTAAATGTGAATTTAACTTAAAAAAAATCACCAACATCCCCAGCAGATCACAGAAGGCGGAAGAGTCAGTATGACAACCACCACCATCATCATCATGTTAGCTATGGCTTTCTTCTTTTAGTTATTATATGTTAACATTATTTCATTCATTCATCATTATGGTGAAATATGATGTGAGTATGTTGTGATAAGATAAGATATGATGTGATGTTATGTGATGAAATGTAATGTGATGAGATGTGGTAAGATGTGATGGGATTTGCTAATTTGATAATTTAACTTCTTTGTCTTGTAACCTGATGCCACTGCTTTGTTAGATTACTAATATTATAAGAAAGTGGAGGCTGCTCTGGTATTTTTATTATTATTATTATTATTATCATCATCATCATCATTGTTATTTTTATAGAAAATGATGAGAATATTGTCCATTTAATTTTTTTATCATTTTTGTTTCAACTACTTTGGTGTTATATTTCTCATTAACATTATGCTCTTACCTTCATCTTCCCTCTTCATTTTTATGTTCTGTTTGTCAGTGAAATTGAGAATAATAATAATAATAATAATTCTGATGGTGATAATGATGATGATGTTGATGATGATGATGACGATGACGCGTGATAAAGGTGGCGTGGTGATAATGATAATTATTATTATTTATTTGCTAGGTTTATTATTATTATTATTCATTAGACTGATTATTTATATTATTGTTATTGTTATTGTTATTATTAGCTAACAGAAAATTTCATTGTCATACATCATCAGGATGATAAAAATAATTATTTATCATGTTGAAAATGAATATTCATCATGTTAAAAATGAATATTCATCCTGTTAAAAATGAATATTCATCAATGTGATTAATCATTTCAATGCCTGTGCATTATTATCAGCAGTGACTTTATCCCATTATAAATCATATGTCATCATTAACATCTTCATCCTCTTCATCGTCGTCATTGTTATCAACCTCATCACATATTGTTATATTATTATTATTATTAATAATGTTATTATTAATAATGTTATTTTTATGGGGCAAAACTACGACTCCTTTATGTCCGCTCTGCAGCATTCGCCAGACAAATATAATCATTTCGTGTCTAACTGTTGTTCAACATCGGCACTGGCACGATACACCTAAAGACATAACAAAATATTGGCAGCGATCACAAACGAGATAAAAGCTCAGGCTCCTATCGACTGTTGCATATTTGCTGATTTGGAATCGGAAAATGTACGCCCAATAACACAGTTGTTTCACACGCTACGACCTGATGCTGCTGTTCTGCGGGGTGGAAAAATAGAGGTGATCGAGTTGATGATATGTCATGAGACTAACCTACTCTCATCAAAACGATATAAAAGTGCAAAGTACAAAAATCTGAAACAACATTTAAATAATAACTTTATAAACTGCTCTATAACAGTTAACACATTTGAGATATCGCCAATTGGTTTTTATAATAACTTGAACCTATATATTTTTAAAACTACATGGCCAAATTATTTTAATGTAAAATTAATTAATACTGTTATTAGCTCAACATATAGTATTTATTGCGAGAGAAACAATGCATAATTAAATATATCTTTCCCTCCTATGCAGGTCATCCAGCTTAGGAGGATGGTACATTTCATTAAAACTCAATTTTTATTAAACTTCATTTTATTTGTCATTTCTTATTTCTTATTATTTTGAATTTTATTTTGTCGATTGAATAAACAAAATATGTTCACATTTTCATTATTATTATTATTATTATTATTATTATTATTATTATTATTATTATTATTATTATTGTTACTATCGTCATCATTATCATTTTTTATTCCTCCTCCCCACCACCACCATCATCATCATCAACTTTATACTATTGTCATTTCAGGGATTACCAGTTTTTGCAGATTATATATATATTTTTTTTATTTTTGTTTTTTAACATATTTATTTTTGTTTTATTTTTTTCATCATCATCATCTCCGTTGTTGTCATCATTGTTGTCGTCATCATCGTTGTCATCGTCGTCGTCAAAATACCATCGCATCATCATTAAGAAACCTGATCATCTCATTGTCACAACCAGCCAACCAACCTATAATCAATCAACCAACTGATCAATCAATCAACCAGCCAACCGTCCAACCAACCAGTCAACCAACCAAAGTTTTGACTGATGATAGCAAGCTATAACAATTTTCAAAAAACTATACGTTTGTAAATTTCGTTGAAAAAATTGCATTTCAATGTTGTTTCTCTTAAGGATGTGTTTAGCCACATTCATTTCTTCTTTGATTGGAATGATAATATTTTATTTTTTAAGAAAATTTAACTTATCATTTTCATTGTCTAAATTTTCTGCTGAATGTATTGCTAGTCGAATATCATCATTATCTTGAAATCTTTTTATTTCACTTCACTTTCAACTACATCAAAAATTTCATGAAAAGCAGTACCAAACTCATTGTTTTCATTACTTTCTTTGCTATATGAAGGTCTGTTGCCTATTGTTTCAGTCACTACGTAAGCATCAAGTGAAGAATTGAATTTTCTTTTTATTTCAACTTCATCAACTTGAGATTTCAAGTAGTAATGGTTTAAGACTACCATCATTTCTTAATTCTTCTATTGCAGATGTTGCCGCAAGAACCAGATTATGACCTTGTTCTAGAAAAATGTCATGGCTTTGGAGTCCCTTGTCCAAGAGAACTAAGAGAACTTCCAAAATTGTTTTCTTTACAATGAAGCAAAAGAAAAATTCTCTTTTCTTAATTACGGTATGGATACCAATACTAAGGACTATGTCATCTCCGTTGAATTGTTTTCTCTATTATCAGCTTTAAGTGTTCTTGATATATGGATGTGTTCTTCGTAAATTATCTTGCAAACATGAAAAGGCCCTGACCATCTTTGTTCCTATAAACGTGAGTGATAAAGCTTACCTTTATATAGAGGAACTACAGTTCCATAAGACAAAAAATTAGACTACTCTGCACACCGGCCAAAAAATATGTTCACAATTGAAACCACCGAATCTGCTTTTTATATAACTAAATGAAGCCTGTGGTTATAACAATGGACATAAAGGATTTTTTCAGGTTTTTTTTAATTAGTGCCTCTTTCACCACTCGTAACTGATGCTCCATCATGACATTGGCTCAGAATGCTTTTAGGATTTACGTCATACTTTACTAATGTTTCCAAAGTTTTGTTTGTCAACGTGTCAGCATCCCAAAAAAACGAAATAAATTAGATCATTAAATTATTTATTGAAAAGCGATAAATTGATGGATGATTAATTAATGATTGGTGGTGGACGGATGATTGGATAGATAGAAGGATGGATTGCGAATAGATGATTGACTGATTATTGATGCATGGATGATATGATTACTGATGGATGAATCGATAATGGATAGATGATTGATTTATTAATGATTAATCGATGGATGATTGATGGATGGATGAATGAAGGATGAATAGATGGATGATTGCTGTATAATTGCTAGATGATTGTTGGATGATGGTTGGTTGATTGATTGATGGATGGGTGGAGGTTGATTGACAAATGTATGGATGAAAGATTAATGGATAGATGGATGATTAATGGATAGGTGGATAATCCATGGATAGATTGATGGATAGATAATTGATGAATGATTGATGGTTGGATGAATGGTTGATTGATGGATGAACGTATTATTGAACCATGCAATAATACAGCACCGTGAGTACGGGCGAATCATACGGAAGTTCAGCTCCTGTTCGACCATCTTCATCGACGACTCGACAGTCAGCCAGCCAAATTTGAAGAACACCATCAGAGCAGTTGCACTTGCCATCTACTTCCACATCAGGAACCGCGTTCAACGGGATCCCGCCGCCTTCGAAGACAGTCAGATGGACATATTCGACGAAACCAAATATCCCATGTCGGTCCGTTCTTATATGATTCATAGCTGTTAAAACTATTCGTTTCTACAGAGCTAATACACATGCTTCCATTTTGTGTTATTTACTATTTACTTAACTGGTTGTTGATGCTATTGTTTTTGGTGTTTTTGTTGTTAATTTTTTTGTTTTTGATGTTGTCATTGTTGATGTTATTCTTGTCGTTGGCCGGATTCCATGTCACGTGATCAAGAAACTAAAGTACTTCTGAAGTACAGTATGTACTGAATGAAGGTTTACAATTAATGTTGCAAAACAATGCTGTTGAGGTAACGAACGTAAGGCTAAATTTCTATCCGATTTCGACACCATGATATCCATGGTTATAATAACAACAGGTCAGTTTGCACCACGTGAGCCTTCGAAAGAAAACAGGATCTGTTGTTAAGACTTTAACATGCTCGAGAAGTTGTATCTACATCTGATATACAGTGCGGCTCAAAATGATAGGAACGGTGGATTTTTTTAATTTTCTTCAAAACAAATGAGCCATAATAAATAATATTTACATAGTATATTTCTATTAACATTTAAAACACAATAATGTAAACAAATTTGTTTAAAGCTTTATAGGTCTTAGATAACAGAATAATAATGATTTTAATGATCTAAATGCTGGGTCAAAATGATAGGAACAAATGAAAAAAAAATTTATTTTTTAAAGTGTATAGTAAATAGAATAAGTTTCAATAGTTTATTTTGTTTCCTTTATTTTCAATAACACTTAGACACCTTGCATTCATGGATTTACTCAGAGATTTTAACAAATTTTCATCAATTTTGTCCCACTGCATTAAAATTTCATTTTTTAAATCTGATAGATTTTTAAATTGTCTTCCATTGGCATAAACTTGTCTAACTAAACACCCCCACAAGTTTTCAATTGGATTGAGATCAGGTGATAATGCTGGCCATGGTAAAACATCAATTTTATGGGTCTCTAGGAATTCTTTAGTGGCTTTGGATGTATGAATTGGGGCATTATCATGTTGATATATAAATTTTTTTCCATGTTTTGACTGTGCAAAAGGTATCATACATTGTGAAAGAACATTTATATATGCCTGAGAATTTTGGCGTCCTTGAAGAATTGACAGTTGGCTTTTTCCTTTGAATGAAAAAGCACCATAAACCATGACTGACCCTCCACCTTGTTGCCTCTTAATAAATCTTTTTTTCTCTTTTCTCTCATCATGCCAATAGAATTTGTTGCCATCTGGACCATCAAGATTGAATTTTTTTTCATCAGAGAAGATAACAAATTTCCATTTGCCATCCCAGGTAACATGACCTTTTGCCCACTGCAATCGTTGCTCTTTATGAAATTTTGTCAGTGGCAATGATTTGATTTTTTTCTCAAATTTCAAATAATTGCATTTCTTTAGACATCTTTTTACAGTACTGATACTACAGTTTAATTGTAAGTCATTTAGCAACTCAAGAGAACTGCTTGTACCCTCACAGGCTTTTCGAATTAGAAGTGCCTTTGTTCTTCTTGTTAGTTTTTGTGGCCTGCCAGTACTTTTTTTGGTTCCATAAGTCAATGGATTTTTTAAAAAATTAAAAACAACTGTTTTAGAAACGTTTAATGATTTTGAAATTTTTCCCAGACTATATTTTTTGGATCTTAATGTCAAAATTTGAATTGTTTGGTTCCTGTTTAGCTTTTTCCCTTTGCCCATAATGAAAAACAATTTTAACCAATTTCAAATCAGTCGAAAACGCGCTTAATGCAAACAAAACAACGTTTGGTGAGATCTAATGTTCATACTATTTTAAAACTGCTGCTTTAAACTTAAAAATAAAATCGTTCCTATCATTTTGACCTGTTGTAAAATCGTATTTTTTGAATAATCTGAATTAATATTTTTTAAAAACAATAATTTTCTTATGTTTCATTGTTTGTTTAAATGTTGAAAATTATGGGTAAAAATTTTAATTAATTCGGCACAATGGTTTTGAAGAAAATGGAAAATACCAACCGTTCCTATCATTTTGAGCCGCACTGTATATTTGGACTTAAGTTCTTACAATTACTTTTGCTCACTTCTGGTTTCGAAACATGTACTGATTGATAATAAATTAGTTTCAATAACATTGGGGGTCTTTAAAATCTTAAATATTTTTAATATTTGTAAAATGAAGGTCGTTCTTGAAAATGAAATAATAATCCTTATATGCGCATTAACGGTATAAGGTTAATTGATAAATTGGAATCATTGGTTAAAAAAGGTTAAAGGTCAATTACATTCGTCTAAAGTTCAGAGGAGTCAACAACACGCCACAAACATTGTATATGAATGCATACACACGAAGGCAGGGCTCTTTTTGTCATATTCGAACCCGGTCACTGCAAAACAGCACCAGGCAGCAGACGGCAGTAGATCTTAGTTGCTTACTAGAACTTATCATCAAAATTATGTTCCTAGAGGTCAGAATGTTAGTGGTCATGTGAAGATGTTGGTGTTGGTTGATGAGCTGAGAGTGGCCACTTGCTAACATGCATCTTACATGTTTTAGATGTTTACAGGTTTCAAGCTCACAAACTGTTGAGTTGGTATGCAAAAAACTTATATAAATGTTTCAACTGTAATAACTATTACTAGTTCCAACGTTACCTCAACTAACTTTTTTTTATTGAGCTAAAAGTTTACAATTTTGCCCTTAACTTGCTCATGACAACCCACCCACCCAACCAACCGACCCATCACAACCACGCAGAAGGAAGCCCTGCCTGAGGACCACTTCAGAAGGGACCCTGAGCACAAAACCATCTACAAGTTCATCAGGAACCTCTTCCATTCTGCTCAACTGACAGCTGAATGTGCCATCGTTACACTGGTTGGTCGTCACGTGGTACGGTGGTTGTGAGGTGGGGATGGTGGTTATGGTGGTGATTATGATAATTGTTGTGTTTCGACTGTTCAGTTTATATTGGAAATACCCTTATTTCATCTAATTGATTATCACAATAATTCCTTTCTTGGTGTATTTACCATTTGGATCTAGGCCTAACCTAAATGTTTCAAGTTTTATTTTAATTATAAGTTATCAATCTTGCAAATGAATCGACCAATTGGGTCAGCGGTGAGTCCTGGATCTACTGGATTACGGTAAAAAGGGCCTTTTTTGCGGAGGAGACACCTATTGTCATCATTTTTTTGCCTTTTTTCAAGCGTCTCATGGATGGATTACTCCTAATTAACAGTTAGGTGCAATTTATTTGCTTTCACTTAATGGGGTAGTGACAATTCCTGTTTCATCTGGATTATGAAAAGGTAGTGGAGAAATGTAGTCCACTCACTCTATAGATGAAGATATGTGTGAAGATTGTTCAGTTTTAAGGCGTTTTTTTTGCTTACTAGAATGTATAAAACAAATTTTTTTGTCTACCATGTATAATTAGGGGTTTAAGTATAATAAAAAGCTTCTAACTTTTTTAAGGTGGTTAAATTCCATCAACCCCTTATGATTATTTCCTTCATCCGCTCACTAACCCCAACTATACGCTTATCGGCTGTATTTTGATCCAGATTGCAGCATTAACAAAGAGAGCCCAAATACCATTTAGTAGCTGACTACCTGCAGCTATAGCTGCACCTACTCCAGTATCTAAAATTATAGATGAAAGACCATAATTATAGACCATAAATACAGACTAAAAATCAATACCCATGCTACCTGATGAACTAGAAGCTTATATAGCATTGGTCTTGTAAATCAAAGAAAGGTTGTACCCTAGTTCTATGACTTATCAAATATTAATTATAGTGCTGCTACTATTTGGTGATAAGGCCTTAAATAATATAGATATTCGATATAGGCCAAACCCACCAAGTTTAAGTAGGATAGCTGCAAGAATCATAGATCCAGCAACTGGTGCTTCAACATGAGCTTTTGGCAATCAAAGACTTATCTATAATCATACTAGGTCTAATCAGATTTTTAACTGCTGGATATTCATACTAAAAACTTTGAAGGTTTTTAGTTTTTATAACTTAAGATCTTATCACTTATTTAATAGGTCAGACAAAAATATGTAATGCAATTACCCCCCCAATAAAATTTTAACTCGTTGTAAAAAATAAAAAAAATATCGACCAAAAAAAACGCCTTAAAACGGCCTTTAAACGACATTTGTTCTTAGGCGTTTACGGTAAAAAGGGCCTTTTTTTGCGGAGGAGACACCTATTGTCATCATTTTTTTGCCATTTTTCAAAAATTTCCATGAAAAACCCCTAATAAATTTTCAAAAAAAACCGTGTCGGAACAACATTAAAAATTTCTTTAAATGCAAAATTTTAATCCCAAAATGCTTATATTCAAATTATAACAATTAAAATCAACATGATTAAAACCCTAAAATTTTAAGATTAGCATAAAACCATAAACTAATACAGTATTAAGCATCAGTGGACAATTAATTGTAGTGGACAATTAATTGTAGTGGTCCATCAAATTATAGCATAAGTAATAAACAAATTGTAGCGTAGAGTGAAAGGTGAAAAAGGTTGGCCAATTAATCAAAGTCTAATCCTATTTGTCAATCGTAAAATTATATAATCATTAACATATATATAGTTATAAACATATCTAGCAGGTTTACTCTATTGAGATCAATCTCCACTATATTAATATATAAAATCACATTAAAATTGCCATTAAGAGAGATAATCGAATACATAAAATCTAGGAGGAAATCGGGCCCATTGAAAGTAAGCGATAGTTCAGAAATACATGTTGCAGGATGTATATTGCCGTAAACCGAAATAAGCACGCTATATAAACCTCAATCAAATACCAAAGGTCCTATCCTTGACGAATCATTTCCGTGCACATGTTCCGCAGATCCATACACCTGTACTATCGCCGCTTAGGGCCGTCTGTTTTTGTCGAATTTTATTTTCAGCGAGGGCAGCTGTACGTGCCAGTTCAAAAGCGGAAACTGTCGACTGGGTAGACTTCCTCCATTCCGAGCTTCGCACATCATCAACACAAAAAGCCTTAGGGTCTAAACCACATTTTTTCATATGTTTTTTCAATTTACGTACAGGGCTTGCCTTACTAGTCGATTTCCCGAAGCCAGTTGACCAAGAAAGACACACACAAAACCATAATCCTAAACCAGCCAACAATATAATGAACCACTCACTACATCGTTTAATGCAGGTATACTTAGAACGACTGCTGACATATGGCGACATGGAAATGCTGCCAAAAACATGGAAGAGGATCGTGTTGGGAGCCATCCTTCTGGCTTCCAAGGTTTGGGACGATCAGGCCGTCTGGAATGTTGACTACTGCCAGATACTGAAGGAGATTACTGTTGAGAACATGTTGGTTGTTGTAGTTGGTTGTAGTTGGTTGTGTGTGTGTTCGGGGTTGCAATCGGTTGTTGGTGCGTTAGTGACTGGTTGAATGATTGGTGGATGATTGGTTGATTTGTGGTAGTGGAAGGTTGTTATGGTTGGTGGAGAATGTTATGGCTGTGCTGAAGTGATGTGGCACCTACATGCAGATGACAAAAATTGACTGAAAAGTTTGGGATAGGCATCAACTTTTAATTCTTAGTTGTTTCTTAATTTAATTTTAATTTCAAATTTTTATAAAATTAATTGAAGACGGAAAGTGTGATAGATTGTTTGTGTTGCTCTGGATAGACTTGCACCCATAATTAATATTTAATTTTAATGATAGCAAGAATGTAGAATAAGAGATACACGTTATGACTTGCACAGAAATAATGATTTCAAATTTTTTAACTTTCTTGCATATGTATTCCATAAATATTACGGGAACGTTGTTTGAACGTATTGAGTTGTATACACATTATTGCACGTTAACTTCGTACCTCAACCTCCTACCTACTTCACTTGCACTGACATCCACGCAGGAATGAACTGGAGCGTCAGTTCCTGGAACTCCTGCAGTTCAACATCAACGTGTCGTCCAGTGTGTACGCCAAGTACTACTTCGACCTGCGAGCCCTGGCCGAAGCCCACGATCTGACACTTCCATTCGAACCGCTAAGCAAGGAGAGGGCCATCAAGTTGGAGGTGAGCAGTGCGTTCGTTGTTTGCTATTTCTCAATGAAAGGTTATTATCAATGCTGCAATTCGGACTTCATTGAAGTTGTTAATTAGTTATTTTTGAAAATCTGTCATAGTTTGTCGTGTAATTTTATAGCTAGATGCTGTGAGTAAGGCATGTGAATAAGTGGAGCGGTGCTGTTGCAAGCAGTGACTGCTGGAACGGGATTTCTGCAGTTAGTGAGTGAGTAGCCGTCAGTTTCGGGAGGTTTTTCTCTACACAACCTCAGCAGACCCACTGGTGCCTTTAAATAATGGCTACAACGCAAGCAGGCTTATCGGGATAGGAGCCAGCTGTTATCGTTGGGACAGTGATGGAAACGAAACAAGATGCATACGAAGATAGGAGCACGACTGATGCCATTACTATTATTTATATTTACTACAGCCGTCGTCACCATTGCAGTCATCATCATCATCATCATCATCATCATCATCATCATCACCATCATCATCACCATCATCATCATCATCATCATCATCATCATCACCATCATCACCATCATCATCATCATCATCACCATCATCATCATCATCACCATCATCATCATCATCATCATCATCATCACCATCATCATCACCATCATCATCATCATCATCACCATCATCATCATCATCATCATCATCAT